TGTGCTAAACTGAAGCATATCATATAAAGCAATTGTATCAAATTTCCTTCTCCCTCCGCCCGTATTCATATAGTGAAACATTGAAAAAGTGAAAGAGAGAAGAACGCACAGAACTATATATATACTGCAAACAAAAAGCCACATTCAATTCGTTCTCACTTCTTTGCTCATTTATGACATGTATTTGTTGGTGTTGTTATCTTTTTTTTGTTTTGCTGGTAAAGTTTTAAAGCCGCATTTGTTTTACACAAATAAATTTACATTTTCGGATTTAGTTGATTTGAAAGGATCAGAAAATAAAAACTAAACTTTTTCTATAATATTATGTACATACGCACTATATATGTTATGTATGTGTTGTGATATCGGTAACATGCGCAAACGAGATAACTATATATTGGTTGTAAGTTGATTTTAAATTTCCGCAACAAAGCGCTTACTTGCGGCAAAATGTTATCGACAGATTAAGTTATATTTAAAAACTTCCTATTTTCTCAAGGAAATTGTGTAACCTTTCAGTTAAAAGAAAGATTGAACAGAATCTCAATTGCACAACTTATGTTCATGCTGATAAGCGATTCGGGAAAGCGTCAGAGCATCTGCTAATATGTGAAAAATCCGCTTGTACAATTATACATCTTTTTACAAAGTTTTTCTATAATTTCTCAACACGTCCGATGTGTAAGATAGACGAATCCATATTCAGCAAATGTGGTAAAACAGGGACTTTTGTGGGGAAAATTTTTCGGGAAAAACCAATCGTGGGTCACAATATTTGATGACGACAGCTTGATATTTGCGAAAGGCGTGGCATGATACACTACTAAAAAATTTAGCATTTGTTATAATAAAAAACGAAGTATATATATTTCATATATATTTCAAAACGTTAAACTGCTTTTCTGGAAATACGATTTCTCAAACCGGCCAGCAGCGTAACGCTAATAATTTTCATTCTTTTCATTGGCAACTTTAATACTATCTTTAGGACAACGTTTGAGAGAGAAAAATAGAAGGAAGGAATTTTGAAAAGTTAATTTAAGCCATTTAAGCATTAACTAGACAAAAATCAATATTGTTTTTAACTCCTACGCGCTTCTCTTATTACAGACGTGTAGATTAAACAATTCTTTAGTTTTGTGGATTCAAATTTGCTTTAGGTACACTGCGTTCTATTACTGTGGAAGAGAGGGCAACCTTGTTCCTAGTTTTTAATATTTTCAAAATTAATATACCTTACACAGCCTGTGTTGGGGGGTATATTAGGTTTAACTGAACAAGTATAAAATCCGAAACGACATAAAATAGACCCACCTTTAGTTAGATTCCGAGCTTATCTCTCGATCTGTTCTTCCAATGTCGGGCCATGTATTTTGTGATCTACAGGTGTCTTGGCCCAAACACGAGCCGTATTGAGAATGAGTTGCATCGGACTACTTTTTGAAAAGTATTGCAACTTTGAAAATGCGTTGGTAAAAGTCGTTGAATAATAAATAGCATTGAGGAGTTCTAACTTGATTTCAAAATCTTACCCCGTCTGGAGCAATGTTTTGGACCTCCCTCTATATAAATAGTCCTACGACAACTGAAGCTTCTCAGGGGGAAAATTTTTATTATTTTATGGTGAAAATTGGTCCGTGATGGTAAGCAAATCTTACTGAACTTGGTCTTCGTAGATCTATTCTTTGGATCCCACCCTTTTCTCATAAAGGTTGTTACAAGGCTTTGTATAGGCAACAGGTCCATATAAATAGTGATTTGTGGTGAACATGGTCCGTAATAGTAATTTGATATGGGTATATTTTTTCGATCTCAGTCTTTAAAAGGACTCTCATAAATGAATAATTAAAATGAAGAGAAGTACGAATTATATGGCGAGAAAGCGTAAACTGCAGATTTTTATTACGAAAATAGATGAAGAATCAGAATTCTTTAATAAGAAAACTAAATTTGCTAAATTTATATTAATGCTTTTACGTGGAAACAATGTTCATAACTTTAATGTTTTAGCACATAAATGAATGAACAATTGTTCATTGTATTAGTGATGCAGCATATTTAAAGGTCGGCCTAGCCTAGCCCAACTATAATGTTTTTATTTGCTTTTCTTTTTTGTAATATTTGGATGTACTTTTTGTTATTTTAATATATCTTCTATCTCCTAGAACACTATTCTTCCTTAAGATTTTACATATACGGTGGATGGTATCTGACGACCAGTAAAATAAACCGTTAGCTTGGTTTAAGCAGTTAAGATTTTCGGAGAAAGCTCTATTAAATTCCATACATCTTTACTTGGTATTTAGTAAAATTTGTTTCGGGTTTTTGCTGGCATGACGCTTGACTTAGGTTTTCATTTGTGTTTATATTCTTTATTTTTCTTTATACTTTGTTTATACTCTGTTCATTTTTTAGTGCCCTATGATTACAAGTGTATATGAGCCATAAATTATTGATACAAGGATAGGCCCTTTTTAGGAAAGAAAAAATTGCGGGCTACACTTAGTGAGACTATTAAGTTGACGATCCTAATTTCTTAGCTCTTACAACCGAAACAGTGCCTAACGGACTTTCGATTGTTGCGACGATTTTTGCAAAACAATTTATATTTTATAATAAGGTCTACAGGTTTGTTTATCTGAATTTAAATGACGATTTAAACTTTCTGTTGCGTTGCGGTTTTAGCAAAGCGAAAACATTTTCATAGTTATGGCATTGTAACGCTCTTATCTTCAGAAATGACAACACGTCGTGAGTTAAATGAACGATTGACAAACCTTCGATATATTTTTATAGACTAGAGTGGAATAGCCATGTTCTTCTATTTATTTGCTGAAGTCGCCGGTATGAGTCTTCAATTTTATTTAGAAGAGAAAATTTGAAGTCAAATGTCATATATCGAACTAAAATTTATTATTTACTTATTTTATTTATTCGTTTGGGAACCTGTTAGTGGTTCTGTTCAAAGCAGACTTATGTGTTTCATTTCCACAGACGGAAATTAAATCATTTTCAAAAGTTAGTGTATCGACTTAGTTGATGCAAGGTGGTAAAGAAAATTGAGACATTAATTACATATACGGAGACATGTAATTACTGTAGGGAGGCTGTAAATCACGTGATTTTCTCCTTAATTGAACAATTTTTCATTACCCTTGTCAGCGTCAGAACTACGCCTTCAAAAAATCGGAAGAGTTGATGTTTTTAATCAGGTTCAATTTAATTCACATATTTAGTTATTGAATTCAATGGAGTAAGCACAATAGGCATTTGAATGTTTGCTCGCAGTAACTTCAACATGCTATTCATTTCGCGTTAATCAAAGTAATTCGCAATAAAGGAAACAAACTTATACTGTATAGTATGTACAAACTCACTTCCAGCTATTGACAATATAAAGCTCATCACAAATAATGACTTCTATCCTTCTCGAATTAGGAACATTACGGATTCCGAAAATTGTAATATCCTTTTAATCTGAATGCCCAGCCATCTAAATATTCCCGGAAATGACTTTGCACAGAAATTAGCTAAATTGTCTCTTTTACATCTGTCGCACATTGCCAATAATGTCAATTAATCTAATATAAAACGTCATTAATTGTCGTATACATAAACGAACTCTATACTTGTTATGAAACGTTTAGTTACGTTTAGTTTGATACAAGTCAATCTATCGTAATAAGCTTTCCCTTAGGTCAATCTATCATAATACGCTTTCCCTTAGGGATTACTTAACGAAATGTAAAGTTGGGCGACATCAAATATCGAAATTCATTAGATTATCCTTAGTATATCCGCTATATTTCTGCTTCTACTTCTAAGAGTCAGGAAATCAACAACAGATGACTTGCTGAGTTGAATAAAGAAAGGTTCACAATGTGTAATAAAGTCGCCAGGTAACTTGATTATAAATAGGAATAGAAAGTTGACTCCTCGATCATGCCAAACATTCAGAATACGTTGATTACAAGTGCGGAGGTTTATATAATGAACGACATGCCCTCACTTGTATTTTATTGCGTTAACTGCATAAATTTTCTTTATTGGACTTTAAATAATCAAAGGTAGAAGAAAGTGCGCGTAGTTTTTATTTCGAGGCAAAAAACGGAGGAAAATCGTTCATTTTTCTGGTGTTTGCGTGATTGAGAGTTCCCACAAAAGAAATTATACACTATCGGCAATATGTTAAACTTTGTACAACAATCTCAACTTTCAAAGCATATTTCGATTTTTTAAATTGTTGTTCTCCTCGTATTTATATTTGTACTTGTAAAACTACCTCTACGATTAACAATAGTACTTAATGTGTACGAGACTTAAAGGCCATTTGGCTATCCCTCTCCCTTTTCTTCAGCTTACAATTTTAATTGCAAATTAATTATTAAAATATATACATAAATAAAACTTTAACAAGACAATCTAATCTTCTTTTGCGGAAAGCGTCTCGATTGGTCAAACGATAAGTTTGCTGACAACACATTGTTCTCAAATTTTTGAGATGACGTGTACGCAAAGTTCGTCAGAAAGCGGAAATAATTTCCTTTTATGCATATGTACGTACCATGTAACGTAATAGTTAGCGAATAGCTTACTTTTCGTAAAATTTGTCCATACGCAAAACTCTACATACAGACAGAGCAAATGCCCTGTGCTGTACGAGGAATACAAAAAAATTAGTCTACGGTACATTTACCACAAAATTTCATTTGTTAAAAATTTTTGTCATTTCAAACAAAATTCTCATATCTATTCCACAATGTTGCGACACTGTTAAGGACAACCACCACACAAAAAAAGGCTAAGTATGAATATGTATATGTGCATAGACTTTAATTATTTCATTCATACTTATGTCTGCTAACACTTCGCACTTCTATTAAGAAAATGTAAAAGAAAAAAAAAAAAAATAAATAAATAAAATGAGAAAAAATGAAAATTAAATGACAAAAGAAAAAGAGAAAATATGAATAAAATTTTTTTCTTTAATTTTCTTGCAGCTATCAACAACACGTTCGTTGCTTTTTTGTTTCATTTTCAACGTTGCCTCTGTGCCTCTGTAGCACAAATTTAATGTTAAGCTTTTGCATATGGAAGGTGTTACGGCAAATGCAACATTAACCACACCATCAGCACTACCGGAGACCATAATATTTACGGTATTCACATTTATTTCAATGTTGTGAATGCGATTGCTCGTTATATAGCAGCTACTGTTTGCCAACTAAAACGACTGCCGGCAATCGTTTACCATCAGTCGAATTGCGATAACGTTGCTGATGTAGTTGCTGCCGCTTCCTCCTACACTGGCTTATACCACATACAGCGTATTCTACTACCTAATTTAACACCACGCTCTGTTGACTTGGTTGCTAGTGACAGTGCAACAGCGATGGGGCAAATGAATTGCTACAAATGCATGTTGCTCAGCATGATGATTACGCTTTTGGCCCTTTTCAACGGTTTTAGCCAGTTTTTGGTGTTTGCTCAAGGTAAGTAAGAATGTGCTGTCAGAACTCATTCACGATAATATGTGCATACGCACGTACATGCATGCAGGCAATGACTGAGTTTCCGGTTTACATTCAATCGATGAACAGCGCTGTTGAGATTGTTTATAGTTTATGTTAATTGTTTTGCGTGAGTATGTAAGTGTGCTTGAAAAAATATTAACATTTAGCTTTGGGTTTCCATTTATATGTACGCCTTTATTATGAGGGCTACGTTGTGTGTACGCTAAACTGTGGAATATGCAGCTCATGAGCGTCGACTGACAGACGCTAAAAAATGTGTAAGAATTTTGCACGAATCGCAAAGATCAAGGCGGTTGATTCAAGCTTTTTCGGAAACTTTTGAAACGTGGTCTTTTCGTCATTAACCACTTGACTCATCAGACACAGCAACAAATTATTCTTTCTGATTGAAATATATAATCACATGCAGTAGCCAATTTTTATGCCACTTTTGTTATATATACGATGCATGCATCTCCGAAACACAGGACTTGAATGTGTCGAAAATCGGATTTAGAAGATAGGCAGACCACTTACATCAACGTTAAGTTTCCGTGCTCTCACTCCTAGTTTATAGTGTACATGATTTTTCAGATATTTGCGAAAACTTTCAAGTTTCACACTGGCCTTATTTATAGATCAATAATCGTTCAAGAAGCTTTTTAAGGGTTTTGACAAAGAAAATTAGAATGATTTAAAAAAATATGGAAATACTACTCCGAAGTAGTTACGCTGCTTTTGTTGCGGTTCTTAGTAATAAGCGCTTTTAAATATTTATTTATTTACGAGGCAGCCGTTTACAGTATATAAAAAATCTCAAGGTAAGATGACAATATGCATTTCATAAATAATGACAGAAAGCAGAAAACTTACAATTATTTACATTGTGTCGTACACTCATATATATCTAGTTCCTATGTAACATGATTGCTTTAAGGAAAGAAACATATTTCAGTTTATGGTGAATGGCTTATGAACAAGCAACGTAAAAGAGACTAAATAGTTCGATAAGACGTTAATTTAAGTATAGTGCCTCGATACTCGCCGTAAGAAATGAAAATTAGTTTCAATACTTAAATCAGGTGACTCGAGGCCCGGTTTCTAAAAGGTTGGAAGATTGATATGGAGATATGAAGGCAGAACACAACTGGAGTTTCTTTCTAGCCCTCGTAGCGCAAATTTATAAAATGGTTTTTGGATAGACTCAGTTTGGTCAATACCGCGTATTCTAGAACTTGTGTAACAAAGGAATGGTATATGACATGTGTGTACCTCATGATCCGTATATTCGTCCTTGTCGGATTTTCTCATTAAATGTCATTATTATGCATATGCATTTCGTCAAGTCGTTTCGTTGCAACCTAATTTACTACCTACCTAACCTAAATACTCCGCGTTTCACAAGTATACGGCTAAAGAAGTCGATACACTTAACTGGTTAACAGACATTTTGTCATCAAAATTGGGCATAGCTAAAGAAATAAAACTCCCGACTGCCAAGTTAATGTTCGTAGGTTCGAATTTCAGTGAGGTAGGCTGGTTGTATTTTTTGATTTCAGTTTTTTTGCAGCCGGCAAAGTGTAGCTTAATAAATAAGTAAATTCACGGTCCGCCTTGTGAAAAATCATAGAATACATCTTGCTACGTTTGAAACTAAACGTATATGTAGATACGGTATGTCTATGTATAGTCCGTACGGGCGACTTTCTTCAAAATGATAATATGACACTTGAGTTTTTCTGAAACGATTTTTTTAAGGCGGTCTCTTCTATTCATATATTGACTATTACTGGATACTTTTGCAACGACGTAGGGCTTAGAGCGTCGAAAAAACGATGCTAATACTAAACTGATTACAGCTGGTGCTGTGATCTGGTGTATTAACTTTATTCTTATTCCCCCTGCTTGATGTAGGTGTCAAAAGAAAGCAGCTAAAGAATAGAATACGAACTGTAATAAAATAAAAAGTAAAAAATTAATTATACATTCCCAAAAATTTTTAAGTTAAACTTTTATTTTAAATAATCAAAACGTAAAATAAATTTATTTCCAGAGTCGCTTTTATTTGACTAATCATATAAGGATACTTTTTGAAAGGTTTACTAACAAATTGACTTTCGTGCTTATTAAAATCTTAAGTGCGCCCCAAGTTTTTATGCTTTCATATAGAGTCAAGATAGGCAACTCTGTGGCAAAGATAATTTTTAATTTATTTTAGTATAATTTATTAATAAATATAATCATAACATAACTACAAATAGTAAATAATGTGCCAATAAGATTATAAAGTCTCTTTCGGCACAATCGTGAAAGTAAAGATGTAAGCAACACAGCATTTCTCCACAGTTTAGTTCTTTAAAAAACAAGCTAAAACATTGTAGTAGGACACGATCCATTATTAAATAACGACCCTTCTAAATTGTGTGGTGGAAAAAGTGCTTCTGTCCGAACCATTTTCAACAGCATTTATCCTTAGGGGCATACACGTCGATATTAAAAATTGTCAGCTGTAGGTTGATCAAAAGGAAACAAGACGAGCAAACGAACAGACAGATTCTGAATCAGCCGATAAAGCAAAAGGTGGTCTATCTGAGATATTTCTGACTGCACATCCTGCTACATCCGCACAAATGTAATGCACTCCTCTCTCACAAGCGGTGTAGAGTGTAAAATTTTTTTCACATTATTAATTTGTTAATAACTGACAACCTGCAGGTGCGTTCCTTCCTTCCTGTATTTTAAAGAGTTACAAATATCTTCACCGATCGATGCATTTTTCCTTCTCTTTGCAGGTCACAGTCAACCTGACGAGCCAGAGCCAGAGTTTCTTTCACAATTATCAAATATGACGGTAGCTCAGGGTCGCGACGTATCTTTTACATGCGTGGTCAATAATTTGGGGCAATACAGGGTAAGTATAAAAGTCGGAAAATATATGGACAGGTACAAGTGTGTTTTATCTAAAGCTCATAATAAAGCCTGCGGCTCTCCGAGAAATAGGCTTGAAGGAATGACACAAATTTATTCTATTTGTGTCGCACGATGAGATATTGGAAGGAAACAGTCGCCCCATTAGTTGCTTAATGAAGCGATTTAATTTTCTGTGGAATGATAACATTTTGTACATAACCATGTTGTTGATCAGCGGGACAATTTGATTTGATTTACTTTTATCCACGTTTTTGAACTTCATTTTTAGTTTTTAATAAAAATTACTTCTGCTCTTAAACTGAAATTCGTCAGATTTATCTGAACTTCCGTGCTCGTTGTGCTGCATTACTTTGAGAGAAACTCATTTTTGTTGCGAAATGAACGGGGAGATTTGCGGCAAAAATAATTGTAACATTGTTTGCTTGTTTCGTAAGAAGTTTGCCGTTTTTTACATTAGCATGTTTAGAATACAAACTATTTTTACATATTACTAAAAATTTATTTCTATAATGAATTAGAAAACTAATTCATCTACTTCAGTAACATTCATATATATGTATGTTAGCTTATAGCGCCAACATCATATATTACATACTTAAACTCACCTAATACATAGAATTAAACCGGAACTAAATACATGTCGCGGTTTAAAAGGGTGCCACTAACTCTTAAACATTATTCCGTGGTTTGCATCCACACACCAACGCACATCTACATCTACACATGCATATGCATATTGAGAAAAAAAGAACCCAAATATCCATACAAGGCATTAAGCTCATAGTCTGAAACTAAACTATCAACAAAATCGTAACTAAGAGAATCTACAACGCAGCTGATATAGTCAAATACGCACACATGTATGCATAGCTGCTGCTGTTTCATGTAATAGAAGTACTTATATGCCGTTCACGTCCTTTAGATCTTGACACACAATCTCATGTACATATATTGCAAATATTAATGCATCTATGGACGAATATGCGAGTGCAGGGTGTAAGTGTGAACGTGTGCTTATTGTGAGTTCATCATATGAACTATTAATGTAATAATAAGCCGTAAAATCTTTACATCTTCGTCTCTATGGAAGAGTGTTTCGTGTTCTTGTTGGCACTTGCATTATATTCAGCTTCCGCTGCACTCGAGTACCCACGCCTATTCTACACATAGACGTGCTTACTTACATATGAATTTTGTGTTTGGTTATGTTAACCGATCCTAGGCCATATGTTATATTATGTATAAGCATTTGCATCGTCACATATGCACTTGCGAGTTTATAGCATTCTTGCACTTAGATATATGCATATATGTGTAGAATACCGTGTGCCTTCTTATAAGGAATACATTTAGTATGATTGTGTGCATTTACCTAAATCATTATGTATACGCTTATATTATATTTAGTACTGGTCTCTGGATATATGCATTATGGTTTATTTGTTTTCGTTTGTTTACCTGTTTGTGTAATTTTAGGTTGCCTGGATTAAATCAGACTCCAAAGCAATATTAGGTATTCACACTCATATGGTGTCCTTAAACCCCAGATTATCAGTGACACACAATGGCCACAACACCTGGAAACTACACATATCACATGTACATCTAAACGATTCAGGCAGCTATATGTGCCAAGTGAACACCGATCCCATGAAAAGTCAGGTAAGTAATGTGCATAGTAAGCATGTGAATGCGTTTAGCTTGTGTGCGAGTGGGAACGTGAGGAAGTCAGAGGATGCGCTTATCTAGCAAAGACGCAAAGAAACACACGGCATTGCCATAGAGTGGCCAATGCATTTGGTCATTTTGTTGGCTAGTTTAGTGACACCATCGTCATTGTCCGTCCGTCTTTGTTGCTGTTTTGAAATATACGATTATGTCATTTATTATTGTTGTTGTTGCTGCTGCCGCTGTCGCCTCCATTGTCGTGTTTTTAATGTTAGAGTGTGAACGATCGTCACTTTCAATGTTCTTCCCTCTTCCATCTCACCAGAGTGCAGTCACATACATACATACAGTTATATATAAGGTTGCGAGTTAAACAAAATAAATAGGTTCACCCCCATCCTCCATCTATATATACACAATCAAATGTTCATGTGAGCACACATTTAAACATATGCGAAGCGGTTTTTACGATTTTATTTACGTTTCGTCTACAACCGAACAATTGCTTGAATGTGGGTGAACCTTTTTCGTCTATGTAATACGTTTCAATATATTTATATATGTGAATGTTTTTATGCTAAGCGATTATTTGTTGACATATTAACAAAATAACAGAAGCAGGAAAACGTAACGGTTTCGTATTGACGCCTACTATTCTTAATCTCTAAATAGCCGCACTCATCCATATACACGTGCTAGTGTAGATTACATGGCATACATCGACCTATATTCTCTTTTTCGCTGCTCCGCAAACTCTTCGCCAAGCATTGCCAACTATGGAAAATGGTTAACATTAGATGCCCTTCAAAATCAATGAGTTTTTAGATAGATTCAAGTCAGCGTAAAATGAAAGAGAAGAAAGCAAAGAAGATATATCAGAAGGCGGAAGGGGGACAACTATTACGGAAAGCGAAAGCCCCGATTTGTGAATAAGAAGTAGGTGCTGAATATTTGATGCGAATACAAATTAGCTTTTGAAAAAGAGGGCTCACTTTTCATGCACGTTTTTTTCTGTCCAAGCAAAAAAAACTTTTCTGCTCGGCCTAATATCCCTAAGCTTGGGAAGGGTGAGACATTTTTTTTTTTATTTTTTGAGAAGGTGCAGTAGTGTAAAGATTGATAACTTCTACTTTCTAGATTAATTAGACAAAAGTCAAATTGAAGATGCACTGAAAACAGGTCGAAAGGTAAGAAAAGAAAAATTTGCTCGAAGCAAAGGGAAAGTAATAGAAAACTCCAGAGGACAACGAAGAAAGAACAAGCAACGAAATAAAGTTTAAAGGGATGAAATGAACCGAGGTGAGAATATAAAGATGGAAAGATAGATCGATAAGAAGGTGTAGACACGGCGGGACTTGAAGATGCTGGGGCAAAGGGTACAGAGGCATCAATAAGAATACATATAAACAACTAGACAAAGAAATAAGAAAGCGTAAGTTTAAAAAGAGCTAAAGAAGGCAGAGAGAGAAAAGATCGACAGCAATATGTGATCGTATATGATTAGTCGCAATCCTCAAGTTTTTGACTTGGAAAATGAAAAGAGACAAGTAATTCATTAAATAGATTCGCTTAGTTACATTTGAATCGATACAAGAAAAATTTAAAGATTATATTGCTTTAAATTTTATCTAGGGATATATTTAATATAGCACTACATCGTTGAGAGCAAACAAGAAGAGTGAATAACACAAAGCAAGTAAGAAGAACAAAACACAACTTTAGTAATTGAGGGAATTAACGTTTGAAAAACGCATAGATGCTGTAGAAATTTTACAAGCATACGCACACATGAACGTCCGCGCCCATGTGGAAGCACAATACGCAAAGAAATAATGTGTATACTTGAAGATGTTTACGAAACTGATTTTGGGGGAAAAAACAGAAAGGAGAAGAGACAAACGAAAAACAAATCCCATCTGAAATAACAACACAACCCAATGATAATATCTTATTCAAGCAAATAGGTATTTGTATATGTGTACACAAATATACACACATACTCTTATGGGTACATATGTATGCGAATATAGTAGTGTAGTGTGTTTGGGCCGCTCAGTCTAAGCTTTAATTTTGTATTTTTTCATATTTTAAATGACGTGAACGCATATTCGCTTTATATATAATACATGTTGGGGAACTTCGTATATCCTCTACGACGTCAGTTAGATTCCTCTTGATTTCTTTTTTTAAAAATATATGTAAATAAATATAAACGACAATGGCCTGAGATAGTGTAGAGTAATCAAAAGTCGACATTTATCAAGCTAAGCCCGCTTTTTTCTTTTGTCTTTATACTATTTATTTATTTAGGTACATTTTTTATACAAACATTGGTTTTTCAAATTTTATTTCATTTATTTCCCTTTTATTTGAATTTTACTATCTCATCTAATCGCTCATAAGCAGAAACGTAATTATTGTTATAAAATACATGGGCTTGCAATACTGCTTGCTAACTCATTCATTTTTTATTTTAATTAACAAATAATATCTACCATTGCTGTGGTTTGCAGATATTACTTTGTATTTGCTACGAAATTAGAAGCAAGCCGTGAAATATTTGGTGGGGGGGTGGAGAGTTCTGTCGTATTTTAAATAGGCAAGCAATTTTTCTTGTAAATAAAAAAACATTTGGCTAGTGAGTCATTTAGACATTTTTTTTGTTTTTTTAGCTGCTGCATAATATAAAAGGAGTCTTCTTTTACCGTTCACTTGTTATATTTAAAGTGAAAAACATGTCAGTGGATAAAGTGCATTTATGTCACTGCATTTTGTATGTTTTCCAAAAAGGAAGCAATGCACCGGTTGCATGTAAATATTTATGTGCGGTATTTGGAAAAGATATTGTAAATGTTCGTACTTGTCAAAGATGGTTTAGAAAGTTTCGTTCGGGGGATCCGAGCTTCCAAGAAAGTGATCGATAATGATGCTTTGCGATCCATGTTGAAAAATAATCCACATTTAACAAGTCGAGAAATTGCAGAAGAGTTAGGCATTCTTCATACAACTGTTGGAGATCACATTAAATCTCTTGGGTTTATGTTAAAGCAAAGTACATGAATCAAATACGACCGAACTTTCCCTCCAACCTATTATTTATTATGTATTAAACCCTTACTTGGCAGGTGAACGTCTCTTGTTCCACTTTTGTTAAGAAATTTTCTTGCAGGTCAAACATATTAGTAATACGTGAAAGCTGTATCGAAAATCATCCGACTATCGAACAGAATTAAATGTAACATCATCTAAACTAAGTGTTAATCAAAGAGAATAGCAAAACAAATCGCGAAAATCTTACAAAACTAATTGCTTTAAATATATTTTGTTATTCATAACCACCTGCAAATATTTCCCTGGCTTATCTCTTTTCAATAACAACATTATGTGTACGAATATACAAAGCCTTGAAAATGTCTTTCAAAAAACTTTCAAAAAATTGTCTTACAATCTCTTTAAGAAAACATGCAACATTATAGTGTATGTATAACTAACAAAAAAAATCGCCTTACCGACCGGTATCCACCCTCTACAAACAGAGAAAAAGGTGGATGTATGTCATGAAGTCAATTCTCTTGTACATCTTAGCTAACGGAACATTGTTTTATGTTCATTATCTATTAAGTTTCTGCTGAAGAACGACGGAGAGAAAAGATAATATTCCTTCACAGCTGTTCCTTGACGAAATTGTATTCACACGCTGTTTGATTTTATTTTCAAGAATTTTTAAAAAATTTTTCAAGGAAGTAATTTTCTTCAAGATGACATTTTTACGCAAGCGAGATTTTTCTCTAAAACTATAGCAGTTGGTTGTTTCAAGGACATAACGCTTACTTTAAATAGAAGTTTGGGAATCTTTATAAAATTTCTTTGATTTAATTTTAATTGAAAACATGTAAGAAAATTATATTCAGTCGTGACCGAATCTTTAACACCCATCGTCGTCATCCTGAAAAGGCAAAAAACGTAAAGGAACTAAATTTTCATGATCTATAACATGAAATGGGCGCGGCTGATGTTTTCTATTTTTTAAATAAAAGTTTTTTTGGCGGCGTTGTAGGCGTGTCCTTGGAAGACTTTAAGTCTTTAGTTCTTTTGCAAATTTGTAGCCGATGTCTGCATTTTTGTGAACAGGGGAATGTTTGCCACCAGGTACCGCACAGTTCGGCAAACGCACAAACGGACGCAGGAACAGCAAACATTCTCGAGTGTATTCCAAAATTAAAACTGTCCAAAAATTTATATACTTTAGGGGGTTTTTGAAACTTGTTTCTGCGCATTATAAAGGTATTAAATTCTGATACATGATAATATTGGATAGGTGTGGTATATTTTTCTATTTTTGTACAGATACTATTGAATAAATCAAATCGATCAAATTTTTGTATATTCATCCGATATAGTTTACCAGCAATGAGCAAAAAACCAATTTTTTACTCTATTTGCAAAACAGATGTGTTCTCACGTTACGTAGTACTGTAGGCGTGTCTATCGAGCGATTTGATCCATGTTAAATTTCAACCTGCGTGCATATTTGCGGCCACGAGAGTGGAATTTTCTTAAAATCTAATTACTAAGTAGTTTGTACCGAAAATTATATCGTGGCAAAAGTGATTACAAAATCTTCCCTGTTGCCGTAGAAACTCTCTACGATTCATTAGCTACCTTTGTCGATTGAAAGTAAGCGAAAACAGTAGGTTTATTTGGAAGACAACAGGAAAATATTTTCAATTTCTTATAGTTGATCAAATTTTCTTTAATTAGACACGTGTCAAATTTATTAGATAGAAAGGTAAATGGGAAGCTGCCTACTCGTTCCATTCGTACGTTTGCGTCGACAACGCATCTTCAGAAAACCTAAGCCAAATGGGGAGGCACGTTACGGTTTCGGAAGATTTCCAATGTGTGATGAATACTTATTTCACGTTATCAAGAGGATAATCAATGCTGACAGAGTTACAAAGGTCCGTAAGACTTTTTTCTTGGTAAACAACTATGATAGACTTACTAATCAAAAGAGCATCTTGGTAAAATATCGCCTGTACGTATTAGAATATCATTTTGAAAGTTTGACAAAATCACATAGGAAGATGTTGCACGCAACAAATCGGGTGCGTAAATAACCTACCTAGACCTATCGAAACCCTAGTCTTCTTATGAAGAGAAGCTGCTTTATTAACGCATACATGTCTGTTATAAGGCCAAAGCTTTGAAGAATTTATAAATAAACTCTTCTTGCTGTCAAGTTTACCAACGTAGTGACAGCCTTCCATAACTCCTCTACATTTTTCCATTCGCAAAATGACTGCCATCGAGAAAATCCTTATCTTATTAACTTTCAATAAAATTTTGTTGAAGAAAAGCATCGTAGAAGTAAATTTTTCCCAAATTAGATAAGTAAGCATGGGACTAGAGTTTCATTCAGCGATGGTAGTAGGAGTTTCTCCTTTCACACCGGTCAAGGAAAAATGTCCACAATGCAAGCAAATGATGTACAGAATTCAATAGGCAATAATCGGGCATGGTATGGTTAATTTAGAAAACCCGGTGTAAATATTTTACACTCAGATAAGACGAAATAATAAGAAGGAAGTGAGAAATATAAACCTCGGCAGTGGTCTTTTAATTTTTTTTAAAACAACAACAAAGGAGTCACAGGCTGAATTTTACCAGTAGTAGCACTCACTATCACTTTTTCTTTCCCCATTTCCGACCGTTACCATCTTCCGACTGACCAATCGGTCAATGATTCCATTTACTTGAAGCGAAAGGAACATACAAATACATTTTTGTCAGTAGAGAAGGTAAAGCTGACACTGGAAACAAATATTTGTATTATCATAAGAGTAAAATAAATTAAGATAATTTCTTGTAAATCGAATAATACATTTAGGAAAGCCTCAGTGAACTTTTTTCGGGCGGTTAAAAAGTACTGACATGACCAACTGATTCAATTGTTTATCAACAGGTTTTCAAATCTAATTTTAAATGGGGAAAGCATTGTTCAGACCAATATCACAGTCTTATTATGTTATCGATGAAATGTCAAGGGAATATTTATCCTTCCGAAATGGGCAACGTACATTGCAATTGAAGTACTTTTACAGTACGTTCTTCATAACTATTTTTCTACACTAAGGCGAAGTGTGTGACAATAAATTTTTCTTGTGTGCAACACAGTATAAAAGAATCTTGAAGATATTCTATAGTAGTAAGCATACAACAATGGTTTGAATACAAAAATTTTAGCTAAATTTAACGTAATTAAAACGGAAAGTTTGTTTTGGACTAGCACTTAGCACAAAGTTTTGATTAATATTTCGATGACTTACAAGTACATATGTACTCTTGTTCCCGTCACTGGTTGAGCACTACCAGTGCGACTTGTGTCCTTTTTCTAGTTAAAGCCAATTATATAATACGTTAAGCGATTTGATTTTTACTTACTTATGTGAATGTTTTCCTTTCCCTATTTCTTATTTTTACAGTCTGGCTATCTCGACGTTGTTGTACCGCCTGATATATTAAATCATCCTGATCAGAATCTTGAAGAAAATGTTACCAACGAAGGAGGAATCATAACTCTTATATGCAGCGCTACTGGTGTACCAAAACCTACAGTGCAGTGGCGTCGTGAAAACTTAAAGGATATCGTACTGCGCATAGAATCAAGAGAGAGGCAAGGTTTGTAGAGGAAAAATCCTTAAAACACAAAAATTACTGATTATTATGTTTACCTCCTTTCATCTAAATACACTCAAAAAGCAAGAATTTTAAATACCTTACTTTTACTTCTCTTACATTACTTACCTTAAACTACACAGAGTTGTACCTTTTTGCGTTTGGAATGTTTTCATTTAAATGTAGAGAGATAGATGCAAAAATCGGTATATGTTAACTTTCTTCGTCTATCTTGCGCTCCTTTAGTGATTCTGTTGTTTCGTTAAGCGGGAATACTCCATAGAGTGTTGTTTTCGGTATGATGTCGAGTTGACTTTCTTTGTTGCATTAGAGAAACTCTTTATTGTTTTTGTTTTTTTTGTTTTTGCACAAAATAAATAAAATGTCCAACTTCGTACGCAGCAATTCCGTAAGGATTGTTGTTTGTGTAAATGTAAAACAATTGGGTTCGTGTAGCACCCTCTTGCTGGGAAAACGTTATCGTACCACGGCATCGGTTAATGTCCTTTTTACGGTAGAATCATGTTTTGTTATCTTGTTTTGTATGCAGCTGTTTTGTATACCTATGTGCCTGTGGACGTGGCTATGTCGATGAATGTGTGGTCATGTACTTTGAATGTTTTAAGAATTTACAATTATACTCAAATATGTATAAAATGATAAATAAAACCAATAAAAAAGAAATACGAAAGATACAAAAGCAACCAACGTAAGCATAAGCGAATGCTAGGAAAAGTCAAGAAGTTAATTAATATAGTAATGTAGGAACATTTAATATGGAGTTTAAAGAATTTACTGCTGTCGAGCCAGTAAGACGTTCAACAATTGCTTATTTAAAAGACAGAGACGTCCTGTCACTTTCAATAAGACTTTTCTTCGTTTTCAAGCACGCTTTTTAATTAAGAAGTTTTCCATGAGGAAAAAAGGACAAGATAGAGGAATATTAAAAGGATGATACGCCCAAATGGATTTCGAATGTTGTCTGATAAAACATTTTCATTTCCTAGAATGTTGTCTACATTCTCTTTCTTAACGATTTTATCAAACATTCTTCCAAAGTGCAGTCTTTCGTAGTTCTCGATATACATCATTGTGGGCTTGATTATTGATGCTGGCAGAGAAATTTTGCCGTGAATCTAACATCAGTCGCAACCATTAATAAATCAAGAGTATACTTCTTTTGATATATGGACGAAAAGTACACATTTTTATTAGGCCTTCCTGGACTACATTCGAAACTTCTAGTGATTTGCAGTATTTGTCTTGCGTTATCTCGTTCCAATTATATCACATATGTCCAATTCGTAAAATTCGTCTAAAAGTAATCCATTACCATCGCGTGACAGGTATTGGTATTTTTACTCTCTAGCAACTCCGGAAATGATCGTCAATTTTCACGCATTTCATGAGAAGCTTGATCGACAATTTCACTTTTTACGGCCTGGTGGTCGTCACATTCCTCAATACTGAAGTATATCTCAGTTTCAATTATTTTTCGCTATTGATTTATTTTCCTACAACGCGCAACTAGATTCAAATCTTCAGAAAAAATGATTCGCATAGACAGGTTCCAAATGCTTGTAGACGTATTCTGAGAAAGATCATAAGACAAGAAACTGCATTTTCTTCTGTTATGATCAGCGACCGGGCTCAGAGATAAAACATATCGCGAATAACGTCGTCGATAACGCTTTAGCATACCTATGCGTTTGTCTTAATTTTCTTTTTTTTATTCGATGGGCAGATTTAAATGTCAATATTCGCGGGCTGAAATTTGATTTGATTTGGTAGAGATTGCTTTGATCGTAGCTGCAGTGAGTGCTTGGTCGGTGAAAGTCTAATACCTAACGATTGGGCACACATCCACTAGGCTGCGGCCACCGCCCCCTATCTCTTTCCCTTCTCACTTGTTTCTGACCGTCACCATAAACGAGGCAGAGGCGTGTGCTGACCAATTCGGCTCCAACCGGATATAATGCCTTCTTTGCTTTGTCCGTAGGAAGCAAAGTTGTACAATATATGTGGGCGAACATCTAATTTCGCGTAGATATATGTTTGGCCAAAAGCTATGAAACATTCATTCGGAATATTTGAACTGTTCATGGTAAAATGCCAAAGAGCGATATCAAACATGAGAGAATTTTGGAGTTTTGCTGCGAACTTAGAGTAAAAGCGGGTTTCAGTCAAGAAGCCGCAACTTTTTGACTTGACGTAGGCTGAATGGAATGGAAAAGACAGAGACCAGTAGTTGGCATAGTGAAAGAATGCGAAATGGTATCCATAAAAACAAATAATACAAAGTTCCTTTCAACTGTGATATCCGGGCAACTTATGCTTGTTGTAGCTTGTTTTGTTACTCTAAGCGACAACGGGCTAAACAGAACGTAGTTTTTTCAAGCGAATATCGAGACAAGTGCATAAATTTGACACATAACCGAGAATATTTTAAAAGAATATATCTTTTCTACCGATTCAGGCAATATGAGATATGGCGAAATGGATCGCTAATACATTGTTGGGAAAGTTAAGACGACTGACTCTATTTTTCAAATTACCACAAAATGTTTTGGAAGAAGTCTTATGTGAAGTATTTTTCTTAAGTCACATATTGAAATCATTTATAATATAATTCAAATAAAAGTATTCTTCAAATTTATAAAATTATTTTAGAACCATTCCAGTTACGTTCGAAATCTCTTTAAATCAGATTTAATTTCCTTTTTTCCGATTTGGTCGTCTAGTAGATAAAAATTGCTCATCACGAACAAAATTTAAATTTAACTTGCATTTTCTTTTCTTTTTTCTTTTTTTGTTTATTTCTGTTTTCTATTTGTTCTATTCTTAGCAAACTTTTCTTTCTTTTCATTCTGTTCAAAAATATTTTAATTCGCTCTGCTACTTTTTGACTATTTGCTACAGTGGTAAAGACGGTTGAAGGCGAAAAACTGGTGCTGGGTAATGTTCATCGTACGGACATGGGTGGCTATTTGTGTATTGCATCGAACGGCATACCACCGTCAGTAAGCAAACGTTTCGATGTGCATGTAAACTGTAAGTAAAAAAAATCTTAACTTAGTTTACATTTGTACGTGTGTAAATATACAATTGTGTACATGTAGGAAAATTTTTCTATAATGTGTTGCATGCGCTTTGGAATGTAAGAATAGATATAAAAGACAATACATATGCATACATACATGATTACATATGTATTGTGTGAGCATTTAATAAAAAATTTCTTCTACATTAACATACGAGAATAAATGATACCTTCGTTCGTTGTTGTTAGGGCCAAAGTATCTGTTTTTGAGAAATGTGCGTTTAAGAGAAAGAAATTTCAATTTTTTTACTTAAATATCTACTAAATTTTTGTTAGTGTCTTATGCATACAGTACAGTCTCGAAATTGAAAACGTTCAGAGCTAAATTTTAATATATGAGTGTATTTTTATACGCACTACCAAAGGGCAGAGGTAAATTTATTTTGTGAAAACGTTTTGCACCAGCCAGAAAGAAACTTCAGAGGCCCTACAAAGTACATCTATATATACACGCTTGATCAACATCAAATTTTGAATCGATTTAAGCACGCTTGGGTGTCTTGCTCTCCGTTCATGTAAAGTTCGTAGTGAATACTCTCCCAGTCGCAACGATGAGGATAGCGGTTTTGAATATGGCATAAGCAATTTGATATTGAAGGTGGACAAAATCGGTCGAAGGATATACTCACAATGCAACCGAAGACGAGTAAACCGCTACTCTTTGGATTTTTCCTCGTTAATCATAAACGGCAACAGACGCACGGTAAAAATTTCCTCTTATATCCTAGAGAAATGGCCACGCCTCTTAATACTATAAAGCATAGGGAATATTTTCTTTTTTAATTGAAGGATAAAGTTTTGTACTTTTAACACTTAAGGATTGGGCATGCACACACCTCTCTACATCTTTTCCCTTTCTTCGCTGGTTTCTAGCCTTCACCGTGCTACACCATGCTAAGGGATATCCCAGGAGTGATTCATTATATAACAACTGAAGAAAAAAGAATATAGCTACATTTGATAATAAGCGAGGAAAATGCCGGCAATTTTGCTAAACTAATGCTTACCAACCATACTATAGCGTATGAGTAATTTGTTTATCTAGTGGCGCGTAAGTGCTTTGATTCAAAATTCTGAAAAAGGCAGAAAGCTTACAACATTTTTTCCAATCTTGGCTGAACGATATTAGTTGCAAAAATAACTTCAAACTGCATGAATAGGTACAGAAAAATGGTTAATAAGGAGTACAATTGATAATTATAATGCAAACTCGCCCCACTATGCTTTTGTCATTCTGCTCTCCAAGTTCTGTTATTTGATGTCCGTTTTTCTTATATTATTAGGAAAAAATTAAACAACCAGGTTCCGGCGTCTGCCATATTCACTTTTGAATTAACCCAATGTTAGCCTGATAATGTAGCTTCATTTGAGGAATGTAGAATTAGTTTTAAACATTCTGTCTCGTTTACCTTATGATTAATATACATAAATCCTCAACAAACTGAAAAACTGAAATAAAGAGAACTTAATCACTTGCAACTTTGTCTGCGCATGGCCGATTCTTCCCATTTTTGCACACATATAGTAGAGTTTTTCGTAAAGTAAATGTGGACTGTTGCAGCCTCCTATCTTTTATAACTTGCGAGAAATGAAAAAACCCACAAATCTCTGTTCAGACAAACGAAGTTGCGTTCAGTTTATGCTTCTTGGGTTTATGCGAACTTGTGCTATGACCAATTTGGCCTATTTTCAATACCATTCAATAAGTAATGAACAAGAAAAACTTTTTTTTATTCCTTTCGAAATACAGACGTATTCCTAGTTTATGTATGGGTGTTGTTCGATCGGTTTGCCCCATTGCCAATATCAATCAGCGGCCAAAAACTTCCAATTTTTCTACCAAATTTAAAGTCGGTATCTTCATTTTTGCGATCAGTAAAGTGCCAACAACAAATACAACGCAGACGGACAGACACGGCCTAATCAATTACTGTATAACTATTTACACTTTATAGGGCCTCTGAAGCTTAATTTTTAGTGTTACATACATTATGGAAGAAAAATGAGTACACCCCCATCCTTCAGTGGTGTGTACCATAAAAATTGCAATATAAAGCCGAATCAGGATAAGAACTCGAGCTTCTCATTCAATGTGAGCTAAGTAATGCCATGACCTTGAATGAGACCAAGTGGCATTGAATGAGATTTACCAACTACGAAATTTTCTGCGCAAATGTGTGTCTGAAACAATTGGCTTTGGAAATGAAGAAGCAGCATTTTGAGGAAAATCTTAGTCTTTCATTTTGCTTTCAATTGCTGTATAAGTTCTTCAAAATTCAATCAAAGCACTCTATTGTCTCACAGAATGAAATTGAAAGTATCGACTCTTGAATAAAAAAAGTAAATTACTGACATCCACTACGTCGATACACATTAATATATGCAGTAATGTTGGGTAATAGTAAGGTTAGGTAACGTTCTTTACTTTGCAGCTTTTTCAGAAAAACATTGAACCTTTCGAATATTACAAGTGCGTCCAAGAGTAGATTTATTCATTTTCAGAAGCAATTTTTTGACCTGGACTTTACTGACGTAACCAATATGGTTTTCGTTCAAGATCACAATTCTTGTGCAGCTAGAAGATCTAACAACGAAAAGTAAAAGTAATAAAATTAGTTAGCTTAAGACTGAATGAAAATCGTAGTAGCTATTTTTTGTACATAACATACATGACAATAGCATTTTTTGTACATTACATATACAGCTCATCTGAGTGGTTAAAAATGGATGCTTAAATATGAAAGCAAAATTGAAATTTGTTTGGATTTGATGAATAAGTATTCAACAACGTGCCCGCTTACTCAAATCGCATGTAACGGTCGTATGAGAAAAACGGGATATTGGGTTAAATGAAAATAATTAAAAGGATTAAGAGAAAGAGAAAACAATAAATTACAACCAACCATTTGATTGTATTTCAAATGTAATCCATATTAACGAAATCCATTTTGGGTTAAAATAAATTAAACCAGAAAGCACAAGAAAAGAGAAATTTTTGTGTTTTACTCTTCACAAGCGAGGACAAAAAGGGTCAAGGCGCTTACAAATCATATGCTACAGCAGACCATTAAATTTTTGTTTTAAGTCTTTTTCTCTTTAAATAAAAGTTCCAAAAGTAGATATTATTCTAGATAAGCTAAATTAGTCAATAATTTAATGAAACTTTATTTAGTTATTTTTGTCAAAAATAATTCTTGCAGGATTTATGTTTATATCCGTCACCGACGGTTATATATTCATATATTCATTTTGTCAAAAAGCTTGCACCACCGAGAAAGAAGCTTCACGGTCTCCATAAAGTATATATATTTTTGATCAGCATCAAATTTTGAATCGACTTTGAATGGATGTGCGTCTGTCCGGGTGTCCGTCTATGTAATGTCTGTTGTAAATACTCTCCCGGTCGCAAAAATTAAGCTATCGGCTTTCAATTTAGCAAAAGCATTGAAAATTCTTGCACGCAGGTTGGCCTTGCAGATGAGCAGAATCGGCTGAAGGACACGCCTACAATTCCATATAAAATGAAAATACTCCTGTTTTCCAAAAAGAAAAAATTTTTCTTTTTTCATTCACAACCCTTAGCGGACTAATCTATAAAAATTTGAATGTATGTTCTATGGGCGATGCTATTGTACCTGTAGAAAAATGAAAAAAACTATCCACGTTTGCCCAACAACATTTAATCTTACTAACTTTTATAACGCCTCTTATAACCAAGCTTCCAAGCCTCGTTAAGTTTATACAGTATAAGGTATGCTTGTCAATGTCAAATTCGGAATGCACCTGAACGTGTCCGCCTGTTCGTTTATCTACTTGCCAGTGTGGCCTACACTGTTGCGCCTATAGGGCACGAACATATCACTTACAAATTTACAAAAAAATTTTGAAAACGATCAAAATCTCGCCTCGCCTACAACACAACATGCCCACAACATGCGAAAAAAACAGAAAACACTTTCGCTCTCCGTATTTTTTGCCCATTACCTGTAAACTGCAACAGACGCACGATATAAATTCCACGTTTTTATTTAGAAAGAGTGGAAGGATAGATATATAGTCACAGTTAGTTAGTGCTTGCTGTTCTTAGCAAAGATCAACGCTAGATCAAAGAAATCAAATGCTTATATGAATGGAAAACGTGTGATCCTGCATCAACTTAATTATATACCGCGAGGGGCTTTGAAAATCGCATCGACCCATAAATTATGATAGCTTTATTTCTGTTGCAGGCCTCAGGGCACCTTTTAGAGAAACCCTTAACAAAAAAAAGAATAAAACTATCTTGTAACGTTCAGAAGTTTTCAATGTAAAGTTGCCGGCTTATTTGATTTGCAAACTTAAAGGTGGGGTAGAAAAATGAGGTAATGGCGGGGACGATGAAGCAGGTAAAAAAAAACCTATTACAACAGACTACGGAGCGCTTTATCAACATACGAAGTAAGTTGATATTGGGAAGCGCTTTTCTTTCGTGTTAAGATCAATCACTCAGGTGATGTCTCCTGCTTGTGTAACAGGATCACGGTCAGAAAGAAAAGCAGAAGGAGAAAGGGACATGGAAACACGCCGAAAACACGCCGGTGAAAATTGATCAAATTATCCCAAAAAGTGCAGTAAGACATGCTTAGATCGATTCATAAAGTGGTTAAAACTCATATCAAAGGTGGGCTTATATGAAGTCCTTGTAAGTGCCGTGTTTATCAGACAATGTTAATATACTCTTGGACCACATAGGACATAAAATAGTGGAGAATAATATAAAACGATAAACTTGAATAGATTGCTAGTGAAGCATCATAATAGTACTGAAATGGAAAGCGAGTTACCTTGCAAGGTGTAGGCGTAACCAGTCCAAGAAAATTGAAGTTGTATATTAAAAATCTTTTTTAAGGCGAATATATATTTCCTCTGGCAATTAATACTATTTGCAGACTTAAGCCTATTTCTAATATGA